TATCCTTTGACCAAATGTATGCTAAACAGTTATGGTATCTCCCCTTCCGCCCTCTATGATTTAAAGTAATGCTTTAAATTCAAAGTAATATATGCGAAGAAAGGGTGGGATTCGAAGGATCTCTTGTTTCATAATTGTTGAATTTACTTCCATTTCGAGTGAAAGTGTTGGGTGAATAGATTGGTAGGTCGGTTCCACCAGAGGGCGACGGCGCGTTCCTCTTGATCAGCTGTCGATTGGCATTACTGGAACATTCATGCTGGCGCTGTTTCCGAGGCAATCTCCTTCGATTCCGATGAAAAAGTGCTAAGCTAAGACAAGTGACTATCATAAGAACCAAAACAATAAAAGACTATGAGTTGTATTCACCCAATTTCGTTTAAGGAGACGAAGGACTGGTAGAAGAAGAATTTTCCCACAATGATATGAGTTGAGCTGACGTTTACATTGAATTTCACATAGCCTTGCTTTCCCAAAAGTTGTTCTCATCCAGGCAACAGTGGACTGCAGTTTTGACCTCGCATCGGCCTTATCAAAACCCTCAGCGGGAGTCGAACCTCGACAGTACAGGAGGGGGACTTGACACGCTAACTACTTTGCGACACTGCCACGAGGGCCTTTTGGGTCACAGGGCAAATGTGAATTTTCAATGAAGGCTAGGCTTTTTTGCCATATCATATTCTTTGGTGGGATTGTCGATGAAGCAAACGTATATTTGATATAACTGTCGATGATCGACTCCCGCTGAAGGTGTTGATAAGACCATTGCGAGGTAGACACTGCAGTTCAATGGTGCATGAATGAGAAGAACTTTTGGGAAAGCAAGGCTATGTGACATTCAATGGAAGCCCAGCTCAACTCTACCAGTACTTCATCATCTTAAATGAAATTGGGTGAATACATTTCATACAACTTATATCACTTTGGGAAAATAGAAATATCAGTCTATAATCACCTTATGTGACCTGTAGGGAATACAATTCGTATACAGTTCTTATATTATGGGCAAAGGTAAACACCTTTGGGATTTTGGAGTCTGATTGAGTTAAAAGAAGATCTGTAAGGCTAAACGCTTTAGGAGCACTCAAGCAAGAATCATTTACATACACATTCGCAATAAACTTTAGCAGAACAAACAAAATAATCAAAAATATGAGAGCAATTTACCCTATTTCGTTAAAAGTGATGAAGGACACGAAACTCTACTCAAATACAAAAAAATAATCAAAGGCAAGCAATTTCCGATTCGGCGGTATTCTGGGGAGTTGCCTCGACTACTATACTATATTTTTAGAATTAAGTATTGTCTCGTGACTACCAGTAAATCAGTAATATGAGATGTATTCACCCAATTTCGTTTAAGGATGAGAACAACTTTTTGGAAAGCAAGGCTATGCGAAATTCAATGGAAACGTCAGCTCAACTCATATCATTGTGGGAAAATTCTACTGGCATCATCACCTAAACGAAATTGGGTGAATACATCTCATACTACTGATATACTGGTAGTCACGAAAACAATACTTAATTCGAAAAATAAAGTAAAGATTAGTTGCGTCGCCTCCTTTTTGCAGGCGGCTCAACTCCCTCTCTATCCTTCAGTCTATTAATTA